GTCCTACTGGAACGACTAACGTCGAACTTCAATCCGACTGGCACTATGCTAGTGAAAGTGAAGACTTGCCAGATCTTGCTACTGAAGCAGATCGAGGTATGCAGTATGTGGGTAGTACAATTCATCATTTAATTATATAACTTTGTAAACAGAGATTGGTTTTATTTCCTGGGGTAAATTCGTGGTTCCTGGAAATAACAAGGGAGATGACAAGCAGCTTTGCCTTTGCGTGATCTTGATTTGGCTTGTCATCGAGGATATGAAGAGCACAATGGCGGCATCTGATCATCATTGAATGTAACCTGCGAAGATCTTGGCTGTCAAAGGATCCATACACATGCCAAGAACAATCAGGATGCTCAACACCGCCAAAAAGTGTTTGTATTGCTTATTCTTGCCTCTTCCTTCCTTCAATCCGGCGTAGGTTTGTCGACTTAACTCACGAATGAAAAGTAATCCTACTCCAACTTCGACGGCATCCGTAACTTCTCCGATGAACAAGTGATAACTGACTGCAATACCAGCAGCCACGAACGCTGATGTAACTTCCACAGCTGCCAAAAGTGCAAAGCCAAAAACCCATCCCTTCCCAACAGAATCTCGGATCGATTTCCCAGCCTGAATAAAATCCTTCGTCAGGAAAATGGCCAACATGAAAAATGCCACAAAGGCGTCAATTGTATTGGTATATTGCGCTTCGCAGGTAAAGTTTTGATTTGGCTGTTCATAGGCGGCGGCACAGTCCGCATGGCTAACCATAACAGGGACGGATCCACGTTGAAAGTCTTCAATCGCCTCGAGAGCAAACAAGCGGTAGGCAAACAGCTGAAAGATAATGATAACGATCCCAACAGCGCGTTCCCATTTGCCAGCCCGCTTCTTTGGGTTGTCTGCAAACACGGCCCATGCATGGGTTGATTCTTCGTACTGAGGATAGTCACTGTCGAGAGAAGTGGCCGCCAGAGAAATGGCGTCCCCACGTCCCAGAATTAATTTCAATTGTCCAATCTCAGACGCAGTCAACTGAAATCTTGGGTCTGTATCACTGTTGTATTCTCTTTGAGCCATCGGTCGCTCCTGAAAGCTGACTGATGGTTTTACCGATAGCTCTGCCGGATTCTGGTTGTTGGATTGGCCTTCGGAGTCAAACTTCGCATACGAGGCGTCTTGTGATCCTTCCATTTTCGTCTTTGCTTATCTTTTGTCTTGCTTTGAAACGTCGTTTGCAAATATGCGGTTTCTGCAGCATTTTT